AAGAAGAGAAGCGGGTTCAGTTATAGCCAAACTTCGGGATGAGCTTAATAATTTTCTTCAAACTATTAACATCATTATCTACTTTATCTCAGTAAAGACGCAGTGTCACATATATGCTATAACTATAAAAGAAATATTGATAGTTACAGATATTTAATTTTTCTCGAAGAAAATGTCCATCGTACCAGTTTTTGCTCTTTTCCGTCTCACTATATTAAAGCTTACAGCCATGCTTTATGTAAAGAGAGTTGCCGAAGCATGACTTTAGTAGTTTATCCCATCAAAATAAAGATTAATTATATTCAGTATCCTTTGGCATGATGCAGAGATGCCAACTGCTCCGGACACGCCAAATTAATTTTTAAAAAAACGGTAAATAACTACAAAGTAAATTCTTCAAATATTTGACTAGTTTAGCTTGCTTTTTAAAGGGTATTAAATGACGTAACTACATACCCTCCAACTTATGAGGATTTTGAAAATAATTCTTTTTAGTGGTAGCGAACCAAAGTAGAAATTTTTAAAGCAAATGGATCTCTCATAAAACTTTTATCAGAACTTAAGAATCTAGCCATATGGCCTGCACTTTTATAAGTAATAGTGGACAAGTTACGCTAAAATTAATTTTTTTTAAATATTAAGACATTAATTTTGCTACCGTCTGAAAAGAAGATTTCTGAAACTACGGAAATTCCGTAGCAGTTGGAGGGTATGTAACTACAATAAAGTGATGAATTATATAAGCTAACGAATTATTTAGAAATAGTGGTGGATAAAAATCTACTGAATTTGATTTAATAAACCAAGAATCACAATTGATAGACTACCACTTTAAAATATATATTTGCTGTCCGGAGCAAGCTGGCATCTGCTAGACAGTCAGGTAGGCACTTTATTTACATCGCACTAGGACTGCACAATGAGCTTTTGGCAACGGTCTGGGAAACATCCCTGAGGATGATTCATATATCACATACCATCACAATTTTTATCTTCTGCAGAGGAGATCTTAGTTGTGCTTGGCATAATGGTCAAAATTTAGCAAAATCAAGCAAATTTCTCCTGTAATTATCCTTTTCGAGGAACTATAAAAGATTTCTTTCTACAGTATCTATCGTTTGCAGTATCAATAATTGGACACGTTAAATAAAATCGAAAAACACTGTACGCGTGAAGTGTCGTGAAGTGCCTTTGAGAATTTTATCGAAATTAACCATTTTGAAACGGCAGTTTTAGAATAAATAGATAAAAGAGAAAATATTTCATACGTATTTCAAAATTAACAGGTGTATTTATTTAGAACAATATTAATTTTACCAGACTTGCCAAATACTATGCTTTTAGAAAAATATTTTATAGAGTGGGAGACATTTTCTTTAGCATTTTAAATGCCTCACCACGAAGAGCTCGAAAAAGTGGCGTTGCATATGAACTCTTAAGTCATCTATGTGTAGTGGTGTGGAAAATAAGTTTAAGTGTTACATAAAAACATAAGCATAGCTACCAGTAGACTAAATTTTTACAAAAAGCGTAGAAAGTTGAGAGCACTATTTTACTAGAGAAATTGTTTTTTCACCTATTTCTAATATGAAGTATAAGTAAGTAAAATTAAGTTATACTAACAATAAATTTTGTCAAATGTAATATCTCTGTTTACTGGGAAACTCGTAAAGGCAGTTATAGCATTAAAAATATTGTGATTAAATGCCGATACTTGGAAAGAAAAATTTTAAATTTAAGTCTAATAATTTAACTACCCAAACATGTATCGTACTATGTTCATGCTTTAAGTAAAAACCCTTCAAATTGTGGACAAATCACAACTTTTAAAAATATCATAAATACGTTGAATGCCATGGGGGTCACCGGTGACAGGCACTGAATTTGTTTGTAGCTCGACGGGGGTCATCGGTGACCGGTGAAGCCAAGATTATTAGAAACGCATAATTCAAGTAAATTTTAAATTTTTTTATATTATTATCGTCACTAGAATGGTGTGAAGAAATTAATGCAATATAGAACATACAAAAATGGTTTTATATTTATACACAGAGATGCCAACTTGCTCCGGACAGTGAATAAATATTTTCAAGTGGTAGTTTATTAATTGTGATTCTTGGTTTAATGAATTCAATTTAGAAGATTTTAATCCACCACTATTTCTAAACAATTCGTAGGCTTACATAATTCACCACATTTTTTCAGTTATGTAAAGCTAAACCTTTTTAAAAACTTGCGACCAGACGGGCAAGGCATGTTGAATTAGCGTGGCATTTAATGTGTTAAAGTACTAAGTTGATGGATTTTCTTTCATCAATTGACAAGAAAGTTTGATTATTTCTAAGAATTTGAATACGTTATGAATGTAGTAGTAACATTGGTTTACTTCACGATCAATCCAGGATTAACATTTGATTTCGATTTCCAACAAATCACTTACTCCTCTAAAAAGGCTCCATAACTTACACCAAAATCATCAGTCAATGGTGCGGCATTTGGCAAAGCCTCTTAAAACTGGAAACCTCCTCACAGTTTCTCATAGTTATTCCGATCACACCACTTTGTAAAATTAACCAATATACGAAAGAGACATTTAATACGAAATCTAGTAAATCTAAGAAAGTGGTAGAAAATATAAATCTAAAAATTTGTTTAATTTATGAATGTGATTGGTTGTGTTATTCCCTTGTCAACCACTACAAATTCAATTCTCAAATATATAAGTAAAATTTCTCTCAATTACTTTTAAAATAGAATTTGTGTTCATGCCCACATTTAATTTTTTCATTCTGGTTCATTTTTTAAATAGTCTACGCTGTCTACTTATGAGAAACCGTGTGGAGGCTTTCTGATGATGCACTAGAACACAAAAAGTTAAAGACCCCTGATCTTAAAGGCTCAATTTTTATTTTGTTCTATGCAAAGGAAGCTTGCAAGAAAAAAAAAATCATGAAATCGGTTTTTGTTTTTTAGTGCGCTAACTGCCTCTGAAAAAAAAACCTTGATAAATTGAATTTTGAGGCTGGAAAAATTAATTGAAAGAAATATAAGGATATTTTTAAATAAACAAATTAGAGCAATTATACGAAAAATTTACCACCCTCCAAGCTGAAAATTACTCTTAAGTAACAAGGAAAAGAGTAAATGCGTTTAATATTTTTCGATAAAACTAGGTTTTTTTTTTTCAAATATACCAGGCACCTAGGTACATGCTATACCGGCTAAAACTGGTTTACAGATTCACAGAAAACAACAAAATAACTCTTAGGTCATTTCGGTGAAATTTACCTTTACACTACAATAAATATACATTACGATACCTATCATCTATCATTTGTTTTATTTCTTTAGTACGAAATTATTATAAGCTATAAATATTAGTTTCTATAATTATACCGCAAAAGATATTTTTATATAAATTTTACTCTTTACGATATTGATTATATAATATTTTAGGAAGAGACATTTAGTTTAATGTTCCTTAGAGTTCTACCGAAGAAATGGTAATTAAGAACATTTATGTAAGTAATTTCGGATAAGAGAAATTTTATTTATTGAATTACGTATCATAGATATTTGAATAACGATCAAAAGTAAATCCTAAATTTAGTAACGAGGGTAAACTTTTTTTATCTCTTTGATTTTTATCTATCATTATAACTAGTAGGCTTGGAATACTGAATGTTGTATGAAATTTGTTTCCTTTAAAAAAGTATGAAACCCAATTTTTTTGTAAACTTGGTTGTACTTTTTTTTTTCTTCAGAATTTATTTCAAACTGATTATGTTCTGCTTTTTTCAAATTAGTCAAATGGAAATTGCTAACAACACGAAACATCTGTGCCAAAAAAAACTACGTTACCTTAATAATCATTGAGACAACTTTATTACTTATTTCTTTCTATCAGTGTTTCCCAAAGTGTGGTACGTGTAATTGGGGGGGGGGGGAGCAGTTTAACTTGGGTACGCGTTCTTATGCGAAATATCTTGCAACAAACGAAAATTTTAAAGAAATTTATTCAAAAGCAAAGCTAGCCATGAAAATTTACGATTACGTATTTTTCTATTGGCTATTTTTTGCAGAATTAACAGTTAATAATTGGTGATGTCAACAGCCAGTTGTGATTTTTGACTTTTGTGCAATTTTTTTCTAGTAAAAAATACATTCATTTTTTTATTAGTGGTACACAGCGTTACGAGAAATTTAGAAGGGGTATACAAAAGTCATAAGTTTGTAAAACACTGGTGTAGATAAAGCATGCGTCATTTTTTTTACTAGCGAATAGTTCACCTAGAATGTGTCCTAATTTCCATTGCCGTTTTCCTGTCACTGACAGGTGCCATCTATGTCCATCAGTGGTGCCCTCTATCTCCAAGAATTCGACCTCTGCACCACCCATACGTCACACCCGTTTATAGGGTGGACCTATTCATACAATCATTCACTCATCCACAGCTCGTAATTTTGACCTGAACCAGAGAACGATCAATTTCTAATTAAGTACCCCCAGAGGTTTTGATTTGTAATGAAACACGGAGGACTTTGCCACCCTTTTGATTTAACGTGTGCCAGTAACCATTTACTACACGAGGCGTCTTCAGCCGGCTGGATTCTAACTCCCGTTCGCACGAACGTTAGTCCAGCGCGCTACTGACCAGGCTATCCCGGCCTAGATTGTTAAATACTAGCAGCAAGTTTAAAAAAATCAAGGTTTTTATGGTGGAAAAGTAACTTCTTTCGATTTAATTGCGATTTTAGACAATTTTAATTGATCGTTGGTTAACAGCCTCATTAGAGAAAAATTTAGTGTCGAGATGATAGGCTTTTTAACAATATTGACAAAGACTAAAAAACCATAAATTAAATTCGAATTCGATAAATATTATGTGCAATTTCAGTACCTTCTTTAAAATATTTGACCAGGTACACTTCATTGAATCAGGAATCAATATTAATGTTGTAAATTCGTTTTTATGATGGTAAACACGGTCATAATGTATTCTCAAACAGTTTCCCAAAATAAAACATGTTTACATTATACCATAACATGTACATTATTGTATGTAGATGTAATATTTTCCTGTGTATATTTAGGGAGTCACATCCGTACTTATAGTTTCTTTTTTCCCTGTTTGGTTTAGAATTTTAAGTTTGGTCTCCGCTGAAGTTTTCGTTCAACGTGTTTCAATTAGTTGCTAATGCAAATTTTTTGAAACTTTAAGCTGAGTAGAAGAAAGCTTATTTTTGAAACATAGTTGCAAGAAAGTAAGTTAATTTTATAACATGAATTATAATTAAATATGAATTTTTAATAAATTATTGCTTCATGAATTATATAAGTATTAACATAATGGTTAACATTCATCATTTTGGTAATGTTGGATTTGATCTGACCTAGATATTTCAATTAGTTGCTGATACCATGCAATTTTTTTAAACTTAAACAGGACGTTTAAGCCACATTTCGCAAGAATAAATGCAAAAAAAAAAATAGATCTTGCAACATAAATTATTTGAGCTTCCGACTCATTATTGTGGAAGCCAATACTCAGAATTATTATAATAATTCAAACCAATAATTCGGCCAATATTTTTGTGGAATTTTTTTCAAATATTTGAAATAGTACTAAAGTTCATGGCTTAAATTCTACATATATAGAGACGGAAAAGTGCAAAAACTGACTTTCATTCGAAAGAAATGAAACATCCTTGGATATCAAGATTTTTCAATAGATAAAAAAAGTTTTTTCATTAGATATAAAAAAAATATTCTTCTTACTTGATAAATTTTACTTTTCATCATTCCACGAAGAAAGAAGAAAAATTTCATAATAAAATTGATTTAGAAATTAAAATAATACTTTTTACTTACATTTAAGAAATAAGACAAAAATATTTATAGAGTATAATTTCCCGGCTCTTCTGTTAAACGAAAGACTTAATTTATGTTCGAATTTTCATAAAAATTTCAAGTTCATATGCATAATGGTTTCTTAGATAACGCAATTAAACAATTCCCTGAGAAAAATTGGATTGTCAGAATTTTTTGACCAAATACATAAAAATCGGTCTGAAAAAGAGAGACTTCATTTGAAAGAAGAGTTTACTTAGCAACAAAGAATACGATAATCTAGTCAGTATGCAATATACAGAAAATATTGCAAAAATCAGGCAAAAAAGGAGGAGATAAAATTGTAATCGCGTTATTGTAATTATTGATTACCCGCTAGGTTAAATGTTTTTTGTTTCGTTTTTTCAGGATGGACTCCGCAACATTTTAAGTCATGAGTTTCAAAAACTGCATCAACTAATGCTAGTTATTTAGTCGTCCAATGGCTTGGATTGATTTTCAATTCCCGCCAATACTCTAAATGCGTTCCAAAAAACTTTTCCTGCTTCTGTATTCATATTTACCTTAAATTCCCCACCAAGACAGTAATTATGAATAAGTTAATCAGAAAAGGAATATATAAATACTTTAAATTATTATTACGTAAAAATATTAAAAATGGACTTGGGTGAAAACAAAAAAAAGGGATTACCAAAGACTCCTACTATGGATTCCTCGTAGTTTCAGAAAATACTTTGCCTAGATGCGGAAAAGGTAATGCATTTATATTTTAATAAACATGAATTAACATGTTCACGCCGGGTATTGCGCCTGAAAGCGGGACGGAAAAGAGAAAATACTGGTAGAAGAGCTATTTCAATATCAGATAATATTCGGGAGGAGTTAATCTATTCTCAGCAATAACAATTCACTGTAAGGAAATTTATCACGGTGAAGAAGCAATTCAATATGAAAATTGCATCCGTTAGAAACAATTGGTAGTTATGGATTTTTATTATTCACGGAAAAAAACTAAAAAATGAAATTTATTTGTTACCAGTTTTTACTCCGGTGAGCCGCCCGATGAGACAATTAGCGTGACCCACTGGTGGGTCACCCTGGCGTGAACATGTTAAAGTAATTATTTTCACCTTTAAACAGAAGTAATTAAATCAGATACATAATCAGAAGTTTCATTCAATAGAATAGCTCTAAAATAAAATGTTTTAATCAGAAGTTTTGTATGAACAAATACTTGAATGCTAATAACTTTTTTAAAAAGTATATATGTTTCCAAAACTTCTACTTTAGCTCCCATTGAAGAAACAATAATTCGTAAATAGCTCAAATATTTGGAGTCTGCATCACTCTTGCTACTACTAAATAAATATTTTCTGAAAGTACGGAAAACACATACTACTACAGATAATTGTTGAGGATTGTTTACGGGAATTGCTACGATAATTGTTTATTTTCTTCTGGACATAATCATAATCCTAGATGTTATGTCCCGTTCACTGATCCTCAGTTTTCTCTGATATGCACTCAAGTATTTTTAAAATAATTCAATTTAAAAAAAAATGCTCTTTGAAATTAAATTTGTCGAATCTGTTTCTTTGGAACATTCAGAATTACTAAAAAGTGATTTAAAAAAGAAGAAAAAGAGTTATTTAGAAAATAGTTTAGCATAAAAATGAAAATAAATTTAAAAATTTGTTTTAGCCATTCAGTTTGAAATCATTCCTTGTATAACTTATGGCTTACAATTTGTCATTTTTATTACTATTAAACTCACTGCCATCAAAGTTACTCTCCAAGTAAGCCGTAAAAGCAATTTTGAAAGGAAAAGCTAGAGAAAACGAAGTAAGGAAACACGACAAAAATTACATTTTTCTTTCCAGATGGGAAATACCTTAATTACTTAATAATGTTATAATTTAATAAAATTATAACAATTCCTTATAATTTTATTAATTTTTTGGACAGGAAAATCACATGATATGATTCTTAATAACAAAAAAATAATATAAAATATCGAACTGTCATTCTTATAAACCGGAAAACTGGGATGGACCATCACCACCTACATCAAAAAGCCTCCGCACGGTTTTTTATAAGTAGTCCGCGCAGACTATTTAAAAAGTGAACCAGTTGTGAGTATGAACCCAAAACCTTTTATAAAAGTAATTGAGAGAAATTCATCATATATATTTGAGAATTGAATCTGTAGTGGTTGACAAGTGAATAAGGCAAGCCAATAATATTCATAAATAAAACAAATTTTTAATCACATATTTGCTACCACTTTCTTATTTCAATTAGATTTTGTATTAAGTGACTCGTTCGGAAAGTAGATATCCTTCACAGTGGTCTGATCGGACTACATATAAAAAACCATGTGGAGGCTTTCAGTTATAGGAGGCGTTGGATGGACTGTCTCGCCCCTTATTTTATTTTTTTATTCTTATGTAATTAATAAAACTTATGATAACATTCACTTGCAAGCTTTTAGTTATTCTTAATACGGTTCATAAACTACGTCACGGACAGATTTTACGAGATTTTGTTTGCTTTTGGAGATCATCGGTAAGATCGCCATCGTAAAGCCTCTGGTGATTGCTATTAACCCCATCAGTACATGATGACGCGATTTTTTATTCACGGACCAAGGTATCATATGCAAGACAAGTCTTTCCGAATTTCAATTTGGAAATTTTTATTTCAATTTTTAAGCAATATTCGATGGTTTTGTAAGTCCATAAAAATTTCGAATAATGTCTCTTGTAAGGTTGATTTTTAGTATGAGCTTTTGGTTTCGTCCCGCTTTGTAAAAAAATATTTCTGAAAGGTCGACACATTTTTAAGTTATTTTCAGATTAGTAAATTTGATTTTAAATCATTTTTCCACCACAACATATCAAACATACAAAGCCTGACAGAGATGCCAACGGACACGCCAAAATAATTAAAAAAAACGGTAAATAACTACAAAGTAAATTTTGCAAATATTTTATTTTTGCTTGCTTTTTAAAAGGTATAGCATTACATAAGAACTATAAAGTGGTGAACTTTATAAGCCTACGAATTGTTTAGAAGTAGTGGTGGGTAAAAATCTACTAAATTGAATTTATTTAACCAACACTCACAATTGGGTATAATATAAAAAAAACACAACTACTTCCACTTAGTAGGAATAACATTTACCATGACGCAATGCTAAATTCTATGCCACTATCCACATAAATCAATTATTAATCAAAAATCGAATATCAATTACTTTTCTTTATAATGCAATAAAATCTGGCGAGCAGCTATTTAAACGATCAAACACTTCGTTTGTTTATTTGTGGCTTGAAGTTAGGCTCGCAGAAAATGCCGTTCATGGGTTAAATTTAGTAGGAATAACACAACCTGTGACGTA